CCTAACTCAGTCAATAAGCATTTTATCATATGACCCTCACGAAAAAATCAATAAAAAATGAAAGAAAGAAAGAAATAGTAAATAAAAGCTAAAAAAGAGAGAGCGCGCGGATTCGAGCAGGGCCTTACGGATTTGTACCGCCCTGCTCGCTCAAAGCCGTCCGGCCCCCATCACGTGACTTTTTCCATTGGTTTTATTAGAGCGCGCGAGCAGGGCCGTACGGGTCATATGATAGTAATGAATATTGACTAGTACTACCTAGACCAATGAAACATATTTTCTTGCAATTTGTAGTTTAATTGTTCGATCTTTCTTCCTTTCTTAGGAAAGAGTAATAGTTACATTCATTCATGTAACCAGGAAAATATTTTTATCGCACAATTTATTTGAAACCTAGGAACATGAACAATACAGGGGTCACAACTCCCCATCCAGCGTGAGGACAGTCGTGGAGTGAGGTCTCTGAGCCTGTACATCCCAAGTTGTTCAGCCAGACTGGTCCCTCCCCCCAACCATTGTACCACCAATTTGTAGCTTTAGTAAAACCAAGTTGTCGACAGACAACAGAGGAATGCCAGCCTCTGCCACACACTGTTCCCCATTGACCATTGTGGTGGACTTGTATAACTCCCGAAACATAACCCTGGTATATACGGATAAAATTGAATACTATTTTCTTAGTAACGATAAAGCACTAGTTCATTTAGTTTTGCGGTAAACATGCGCGATAAAAGCTATTGAGTTAACATATATTAACCTATAATGAAATGAGTTAGTACTGACTGTTCTAATTATACAATGAGACTCCTAAAATGTTGCAAAGGCAGTCTGTATTATACGACGTTATTCTTTTAAAATGTTTTAAAGAAAACCTCAATCACTCTAGTCAAACAGCACTTTCTTTAAATATGATATTTTTATCTGTGACTTTATAGTAGGACAGCCAGTTAGGACCGGCCCCTTGTCCACCATCAATGTTGTAAAATTACAGCTTTTGTAAAACTAGGTTTTCGAAATGCAACCGTGACATGGTTCTAGCCAAAGATATCATCACACCCACTTTTGGCCATAATACAATTTTACAATACCAGTGACAACAAGTATCCGTACGTTTCTTTCAATAATGTATACATTTTTGTCTGAACCTCTAAATCCAATCTATTGCAGGCAGACTTGCTCTTTTTCTGGTCCATTCCACTAAACATGTGCAGTTTTGGTAAAGCCATGTTGTCGACAGGCTACTTTGGCATTTTTTATATATCCCATAGATAAGGATGGTGAGTGTGTTAGCCCCACGCTTTTACTATTTTGTCATCCAGAGCTGTAGAATAAATATTTTACGTGATGTTTTATCAAACGCCACCCACCACATTGAAGGTAAATTGGTAGTGTCTTGCCATCTCCGGCCGCAGGAACATATGTTTACATTCTTCCTTGTTTTCCAATTCAAAGGCGGTTGAATGTTAAAGTATCATGCATTTTAATAAAACTATTTGACTTGGTTTTTTTAAGTAATATCTACCTAACTTTTATGGAAGTCTCTTTTTGGGCTCAGCTCCTTCCTTTATAAAATTATTTACATTCTGTATAATGAAAAGAAAAATGAGTGAAAAATAACGTCGAACATTTTGTTGACTAATACAAAGTGGAACACAATGATAAAGAACTTTCAGCCAACAGCTGGTTCTGAGATTAAGATTGAGGTATGCATTTTACCGTTGTATATTTTTCAAGTGTAGGAAAGCTAGTCAGAGATATTGAACACTAGCATATACCAGCAGGGGATCATTAGAAGAAATTATTTTAAACACAATTCTTTATAATCTTCGCCAAATACGTTTTCAACGTTTTTGTTCTTTTCTTCTTACCTCCTTTATACGTATCCACCAAAAAAATTATTTTAAGTAAAACCTTTCTCCCTTTCATTTCTCACCTACAATATTGATTATATACTTTTCGCTTTTGAAAAATATGATTATTTCAATGCACAATGAAAGAAATAATAAACGCTAAGGCTTAAGTTTATTTATAATCGACGCTCTTGATGCTACTCGTATTATCCAGTAATGGTGTGAGGAACATTTTGCAACGATGGCTTTTCTTGGGAAGATGCCAAGTTAACATCTAGACAACTTGGTTTTAGGATTGAATTCTTTAACTTACTGGCACCTCCTGGCACCTTCGACATGGGGAGCAAGGACCAGTCTGGCTGAACAACATGTCATGTACAGGCTCAGAGGCCTCAATCCAGGATTATCCTCATGCTGGATGGGGTAATGTTAGCTCATGGTGCAACGGTCACACTATTGATGCTGGTGTTCAGTGTTCTGGTTAATTGCGCAACCAGGTTCCAATGTTATGTCAGTGATATTTGGCTAATACTTTACTGATATTGGTTTTAATCACATTTTAGGTAAAATCGAATATCTTGTTTCGATTTGACCCCATCGTCAGATTTTTAAAATTTTCCACCTAAAGTGGACAAATTCTGCAAAACTAATCGTAAATCATTAAAGATCCTCTTTATTTATTTTCCTGTCTACTGTAAGCGAATTTGCTGACATCTACTATCATTGTTCAACCTGGATAGGAAAGCTATAATTTACTGGCACCTACTGGCACCTTGGATGGATAACATGTTATGTACAGGCTCAGAGGCCTCAATCCAGGATTGTCCTCATGTTGGATGGGGTAATGTTAACTCATGGTGCAACGGTCACACTGATGATGTTGGTGTCATTTGTTCTGGTGTTTAATTCCTTCCTTATTCAGATTTGGAGTTATAAACGTTGTCAAATAACTGCATGTCTAACTGAAAGCTAAATACGTTTAGGCAAAGTTAAACTCAACTGAGTAGCAGCGAATAGAGTCTGCAATAGCCTCTGTTTTCATTTTCTTGCAATTACAAGCTATTCTTAAGATCACGCTAGAATTATCTATGGTCCTTATTCGTTTTTCGAAAGAAGATGGATATTGCGATAAATGAGTTCTACTTCATTAACAAGAAAAGGAGATGGAGAATATTATATAAAGTTGGTACAACTTTGAAAAGTCCTTGAATTGGAATTTTCCTTGAAAAGTCCTTGAATATTGGAAAAAAGACCTTAAAAATATGGAAGCAGTCCTTAAATTTTATTCACTTTGCTTTTTTAAAATAATTGTAGCCCAATTTTTACAATGATTTTATTTTTCGCCGGCTCATTTTTATTCTTAAAATCCAACATGGCGTATCTTGGCCACGTTTCGATGTTCCAAAATATTTGGGGTGGCTATCAGAAGATAAATTGAACAAGAAGCTGTAACCACTAAAATACTATTGACTTGTTATGCAAGTAATACACACACTGGAATAGAAGTAAACTATTAAAAAATGTCCTTTTTTTACGAGGGTAGCACTTAACAGCCAGCGGCCACCAAACCTGTGGCCCTAGTTACGTTCCATGATCAAATTGGAATTTAGGTGTTTTTGTGGAGGGAGGAAAACCAGAGAAATCGCAGAAAAAGCTAGCAAGCTAGGGCTTCAGGTTTATCATACTTTCGGTTCTACCTACACTTGAGGTAAGAGTTAATTACCGAGAACGGAGGCAATAAGCCATATACATCCCGAGGGCCGCAGGCCCTCGGGATGTATAGGCTTATTGCCGACTTTCGAGGTAATTAAGTATTTTATTTATCAATTGAGAATGTTTTCTATCAAATGTTGCTCATTATAAATGCGAACGGTCTATATATAGTTATTAACCGGGTTAATAACTATATATTGACCTCGCATTTATAATGAGGGTTATAACAAAAATAAAGCCTTGTGAATAACAAAGAAAACCGTGTCAATTGAGAAATAATCCATCATACAAACTTACAAGCGATTTCTTCCCTCCCAATATTATGCTTTTATCGCCCCCTCTGCACTTACCCATCAACGCATATTCCATGTTTAACTTGTCATCTTCACGTGCTGCCTTCACCTTAATTCCTACGATTTTGATATTTCCCCTCCGTTATTTTTACTATTATTTTCGTTGTTACCGTTCTCCTTTATTTCATCTAATCCCTTGTACTTATGTAAGCTCTCTTAATTCCTTCCACACTCTCATACTCCATACTCACTCGTACGTATTCCATAACATTTCGCCTTTACACCAAAGATTCTCCCCCCTTCCCTCCCTTTCCTGGGTCCGAATACCTGTGTTTTGCATAGTATTCTCGGATTTGTTTTGGAGGTTCTATGCCTTAAAAAAAGCATAGGAAAGAACCAACTACAAACTCTACAACAGGCAGGACCCGAACCCGGGTTGCATCGATGACCGCTATGCTACCCGTGCTTCCTAAAGTTATAAACTTGGATAATGGACTTTTGTCCTTGAAATGTCCTCGAAAAGTTATTGAATTTTATCTTGCCAAAATTGTACGACTTTTAAAAACTCTTAAGCAAATGGTGCAAATAACTAAAAGGTAACCGAGGGCAAATACTATAAAAAAGATTACATCATATTTGAAAGAACAAAACCGACTTCGACCGGACACAAGGGGTTATGTTTATGGTGTTGTACAAGTCTACTACAAAGGTCAATGGGGAACAGTGTGTGATGATTCCTGGGGTTGGGATGATGCCAAGGTTGCCTGTAGACAGCTTGGTTTTTCCAAAGCTGTAGGTTACTGGCACAGTGGACGTGGGGAAGGACCAGTCTGGCTGGACGACATGGCATGTACAGGCTCAGAGACTTCACTTCATGACTGTCCTCACCGTGGATGGGGGGTTCATAACTGCGGTGGTCACACTGAAGATGCTGGTGTTGTGTGTTCAGGAGCTCAGAATGTTCAAACCGAATGTTCAATACCGTATTATTATTATTATCATTATCATTATCATTATCATTATCATTATCATTATCATTATCATTATCATTATCATTATCATTATCATTATCATTATCATTNATCATTATCATTATCATTATCATTATCATTATCATTATCATTATCATTATTATTACTATTATTATTATTATTATTATTATCATTATTAAATATTGTTGTTGTTGTTGTCGTTATTATTACTATTATTTTAAAACTATTAAAATAACCTTGAAGGACGTTTTTTCAGTTTATGCTTCTGTTGCTTGACTTATAGCTCTGGCATAAAATGATTAAATAAATAAATAACATTTATTTATTGCTAACATTTTTTCCCTTTCTTTATAAGAACAACATCTCAAACTTTGAGGTGGCGGTATTCACCATAGTTTCTCTTTTCTGTATACTCCTTCATCTTATGTTTCGGCTCTCGCTCGTTTTGTCAGGCATACCTATCACTTTTGTTGTAATTTTGGTTTTATGTTTCAATTTCCGGAAGTCATGATCTCGGATCTCTTGCAGATATCAAACGGAAAAGTGCAAAGCTTAGTTGAACTGTATTGTCTAAGGAATTTCTAGCGTTCTTTTATTAATTTATTCATACTTTTCAATTCTACTAGTTAAACATATACTTTTATATTCCTTTCCAATAGTCTTTTCAATTCTATTTACAATTTAAATCAAATATTAATCTTAATGCTATGTTGCATTTCATAGTTTCAGTTTCATTGATTTTTTCTAGTTCTAAGCTCAGTGTTATGTCGAAACATTGTTTTAAGTATCTAGTTAGATAATATTTACATAGGATTCATAGATTTTATTGTAATTTGATATTTTGGGCCACAAGTTAATAAGTTTTTAGGTGTTACCCTCTTGAAATAAAGACTTCACTTCACTTCACTTCCAGCTTTGGTCTTCGAAAAGCTTGCAAAAGCGTGTGAATTAAATGGCGTTCCATTGCCTTGTTTTCATTACCTTGGGAATTCCAAATTCTGATGAAATGCACAGCGTCGGCTAAGGCTGACTTGAGGATTTCTACAATGGGATATTTGGAATACTCTCAACGAACAACGTCCTTCGTAATCTTCGTAAACTCTTCAACTGACTCGGTCTTCCTCAACCAATCGATTTATTACAGTATTTGCTTCAAAACTCAGCAAAATAACCAAGAACTTAACAAAATAGAAAATGAAAGAAAAATATAGCCAATCTTCACCAGTTAAATTCAGCATTTAAGTCGAGCGAACTACTCCTAATATCAATAAGCATAAGAAGGGCATAGGAAACCCAAAGTGCAAGTAGTACAAGAGTTCGCCATTGGAGGTGTTTCATTTATACATGACTTTGAGAAAACGAGTACTTTGTGTAAACAGTTCTGAAATTTTGAACTTTGCTTTCAACGGGTGGTGGAATGCCCCTAAGTATATCTTTAATCTTGCTCAGCTGATAGTTTATTGCTTAGTGTTCCATCCTTTAAATCTAAGACGACTTTAGGAGACGGAGCATTTGACATTGCAACACCAAATATATAATTGTCTTCCTATAGAGAGGGGGTTGCTCTGTTTATATTTACTATATTTACACATAATTCATTCAAAAACTTATCTTTTCAGGTTGGCTTATTTTTAGTCACTTTCTAGGTATTAAATATTGAACTGTCCTCAATAAAACTAAGAAATACATGGCTTTCTTAATAATCTCATTAACGCGTGTATTTCACTTTGTTACTTCATATCTTAAGGCCTAGGAACTTAGCACTATCAATAAATGAGAGGGTGGTTCCATTGCTAGATAAATGCTCAAATGCCTGCTTGTTCGTTTTAAAGTAAATTACAAGTTCTTTAAATATGTCAGTGTTAAGTGGCATAAGGTTTTTCGCGCGAACAGTATTCGAATGCAATAATCTGATTCTGGACTAGGCCCTTTTTGCAGTTCCCTGTGACTTCTTAGAAGGTAGCCATGCTTCGATGCAAAGGCATTGCTACCTCTCAAGATGACGCAGGGAACCGTGAAGGAAACTATTGCGTTAAAATAACAGGAAATACACAGGGAAACACTATTTTATATTGTAACATGCAGTTTTTTAATATCTCACAAAACACCTAATTAAAGCATCACAACCACGTCATGTTGATGTATCACCCTTAGACAACTGGCTAGGAATCTATCAAGAATTTTGTCAATGAAATGAAACGCTTAATGTTGTTCATACCAAATTCATTTACCAAAACAATACCAGCATCATCAGTGTGACCGTTACAATTAGAGCTCACAACTCCCCATCCAGGGTGAGGACAATCCTGAAGTGAGGTCTCTGACCCTGTACATCCCAAGTTGTTTAGCCAGACTGGTCCTTGATCCCCATGCATGTAGCGCCAGTAATCTACAGCTTTGGTAAAACCAAGTTTTCTACACGAAACCTTGGCGTCATCCCAACCCCAGGAATCTTGGCACACTGTTCCCCAATTTCCTGCTTGGTACACTTGAATAATAGCAAAAACACCAGGCAGAAGAGTCCTCAAAAGATTTTTTACAATGATTATAAGCACATGGCATAAGAAAATGCAATACCAGAATATAATTGAAAGTAGCTATCTGAAATCAAACCGAATAAATATTTAGGCTGCGTTCATGTATGGAAGAGGGGGGAGCAGGTGAAATTTAGGGGGGATCGGAAAAATTTTTGACTAGTAAAATGGGGGTTTGAATTTTTTTTTTCAGAGAATTGGGGGGGATGCAAAATTTTTAGACGAAGCTACGAGAGATTGCCCGGAAGTGATAGTTATTTTTTAGGGGGCATCGGGGGGGAGGGGGCTTAAGAATTTGTTTGTCAAAAAGGCAAAGGCAAAGGCAATTTGTTGTCATCGTGTAAATCAGTTTTACATTTGCTTTAAAGACAGTAAACTAAATTAAACAACACAAACATAACAAATATTACAAATCATTATTAATCGCGAATCTTAGGCTTAGTGGCCATCCAATGCATTGATTGAGGTTTTTCGTTTTTCAAAATTTTCAAATACAAATTTTGCTATTGCTTTTTGTAGTGGCTTTGGAGGATTTATCAACAGTAAAAAAATCATTTTCATTTTTGTTGTGTAAGCTAATATTTTCTGACGAATAGTCTTTCAACAATCTTAAACCTTTCTTCTGAGTAATAAGGAGATGATAACAAGATATGTTTTTCATCTTCTCTGCCAGGTTTGCATATTTTGCATATTCTTTCTTCTGGTTTGACGYATGGCTTTGAATATCTGCCACTTTCGATTTCTAATGGGTGGCCACTTATTCTAAGTTTTGTTAAATGTATTCTGTGTTTGATATTGCTGATTTCTCTGAGGTATTCTTCTTGCTTGTAATCTATTTTAAAGCACCACTAAGCTCTTAATTTGTTCTTTTGGAAGCCCTTTCTTCCACTGTCACAACGTATTTTTTCAAGCCATACTTGAATTTCCTGATCTACAAGTCTTTCTTTACATTGTTTAAAAATCGCTTCCCAGTGATTTTCTGTAAAATCGTATTTGTAATTCTGTTGCCAAATGAAACTAAATCCTAGATTATTGTCTTGCCTATTGTCTTGCAATTTGTATTTGCTTGATATGTTTCCATTTCTCAGTTGTATTCTTTCATGTAAATAGGACAATATTTGAAACCATGGAACATGAACAATGCAGGGCTCACAACTCCCCATCCAGCGTGAGGACAGTCCTGGAGTGAGGTCTCCGAGCCTGTACATCCCAAGTTGTTCAGCCAGACTGGTCCCTCCTCACGTCCATCGGTCCACCAATTTGCAGCTTTAGTAAAACCAAGTTGTCGACAGGCAACATGGGCTTCATTCCAGTCCCAGCTATTGGTACACACTGTTCCCCATTGGCCATTGTGATAGACTTGTATAACACCATAAACATAACCCCTTCCATGTATCCGGATAAAATCGAATACTATTTTCTCAGTGAGGATAAGGCACTGATTCATCTAGCTTTTTTAACGCTATACTGTAAGCGACAACAGCCTGGATGAAATCTATCAGTCTGCCTATAAGTTGTGCCATTGTACGAAACTGCAATTTTCGAAGCTAACAACGATATCTTGAGAGAAATCGATGATAAGAAATTTGTCATCCTCTTGCCGCCTTCGAAACTGTCGAAAACATCTTTTCTGCTGCCCCGCCTGACATCGAGCTTGGGTTTGTTGGGAAAGCACCTGATTGGTTAAGATCATGCCTAAACTTGAGGGCACTGACCGTCACTGTGTCTGGTGGTATGTTAACGGTGCGGCCCTTCACTTCTGGTGCCCCTAAGAGGAGCGTTCTAGGCTCTATTATCTTCTCGATGTATGTGTTACCTTTATGTGAGCTTAACAGACCATGTATACCATGTATTACCATGGTTATGCTGACGACACCCATCTCTACGTCATTTTGAAGTCTACTCGTCCGGATGAGTTCAACATGGCCAAAAATCGGTTGGAGACCTGCAACCGGGATATCGATGCATGGATGGCTCACAACATGCTCAAACTGAATGGAGGCAAGACTGAACTTAATGCACGACATTGCCCCTCTCTCCCACTCAATAGCATCCATGTGTGTAATGATGTCATCGAACGATCTTTTCATGTACGCATGCAACATTGGTGGGATGTTCGACTCATCTCTGTCAATGAATCAACACACAACTGATACCTGAAAATCCTGCTTGTTCCGCCTCAGGAACATTAGCCGTATTAGGAAGAAACTTAGTAATCAGCAGAAATCTTAGTCCATGCACCAATTTCGTCAAGACTCGATTTTTGTAACTCGTATGTTCAAAACACAGCAGTTCGAGCAGTATCACTCACTCGTAAGCAAGACCACATCACGCCAGTGCTAATCAATCTGCACTGGCTACCTGTTGAACAAGGAATTATCTATAAAGTATTATTATTGACATATAAGGGACTTAAATACATAACTCCTCAATATATTAAGGGTTTGATTAACATTTATGTCCCTGGTCGAAATTTCCGCTCTTCGTCTAGCGGACGATTGGCAGGGTGGACTGGGATACCTGTGGATGTGGGTACACAAGGGGGCAGGAAGAGGATCCTAGAAAAACATCAAAATGTAAAGATAGCCTAAATCATAGTGAATAATAATACTATCAGTGAGGACAATGTTTTTGTGATTTGAATTTCCACTTGAATTACTCCAATTCTTGTTTTCTATATTTTTGTCTCTTTTTTATAAATTTTTCTCTATAAGTAAGTAGCCAATTGTAAATTACCTAAAAGTAGTGAGATTTGTAATTGTTTCCGTAAAAACATACGGAATAAAGTTTCCATCATTATCATTATCATTATCATTATCATTATCATTATCATTATCATTATCATTATCATTATCATTATCATTATTGTAAACAAAGGCAACATACATAAGATAGCAACATGGATAGCAAGAGTAGCTTCTGAAAACTAATGAATATATTCTTAGTAGCATGAATATTACAGGTCTGACGTCATCACATTCCTTGCAACATTCACCGTGTTAGTGAAAAACAGGTTTAGTAAAACAAAGTTGCCTGCATGCCACCTTGGTTTCCTCCCATTGGAAGTATTCATCACACACTGTTCCCCACTTTCCACGGTGGTACACTTGAACAACACTAGAAACACTATTAAAACGTACATTCCCGGCGTACATCATTTTCTTTCACCAGGACGCTGTACGAATAATAATATAGGTGTCAGTAAGTCATAAGTTTCCTATCCAACCCTGTTATCTACATACCACCTTGTCTTACTCCCAATAAAAGCCATCATTGCAAAGTGTTCTCTCACCATTTCATGATAGAATAATATGAGTAATGTAACTATCTCAGTTATGGCTAGGCTATTTTACCGATCCATCGGACTAGACACTTTAGATCTTTTAATCTTTTTCGATAAATCAATCGTAAAAATATAATAAATCAAATTAAATTAAATTGCTAATAGTCTTACTGACAATCATACATGCAATCATACAAAAATCGCGATAGAGCTTAAAAATACAATCATTCCTAAAATAATAATACAAGTAAAAATCATAACTTGTCTAGCTACTTGCAAACTTGTTGAACTATGCTAAACGTGGTTCGTGTCAACTTACTTAACTCACATGACAGGTTAATTATTAAATTATTACAATGAATCAATTAGACTTTAGTCTATGTAAACATATATTGTCTTTCAATTATCATTTTCGATAAAACTTCAAGAGAGCCGATGAATAAATATAACCCTTAGTGTTTATCATTTCTTTCATTGTGCATTTATGACAATTATACTTTCAAAGGTAAAGAAAGTATAAATTAGTTTTATAGCTAAGCAATGAAAGGGAGAAACGTCGTTCTTGAAAAGATTTGTAAAACTTGATGCGTAAGAAGAAGATAGAGAAGAAGAGGAATCCTTTCTAGTACAACTAATAACCTTTCATCTCTCTGTGCTTTGAACACACCTACAGAAACCATAGCGCTACAAAAGGAAAGATAATGAGAAGTTATATATAATATTACTGATTTAGTTGAAAATAAAATTAAAACATATACGAAATCTTATATAACAATTATTATATAGTAAACTGAACCCAAGCATCTTTAGTATGGCCATTGCAATTGGAGCTAACAACTCCCCATCCAGCATGAGTACAGTCCTCGAGTGTGGCCTCTGACCCTGTACATCCCATGTTGTTTAGCCAGACTGGTCCCTCCCCCCGTCCATAGCTCCACCAATTTGTAGCTTTAGCAAAACCAAGCTGTCGACAGGCAACATGGGCTTCATTCCAATCCCAGCCATCGCTACATACTGTTCCCCATTGACCATTGTGGTAGACTTGTATAACACCATAAACATAACCTCTTGTATCCAGATAAAATCGAAAGGTATCTTTAAGTAACGATAAGGCACTGGTTGATCTATATTTAAAGCAACCAATGATGTGTAATAGCTAAATAAACGTTTTCATGAGCTTTGTTTTTGTGACATGCATTTTTCTATTGCTTGTAAATTGCTTTTGTCTTAAAAAAGCTGAGACAAAGATAACGTGTATAAATTTGCATTTTGCAAGTGTCGTTAAGAACACCAGTTATAAAAGCTTTCGCAAAATAAGCTTTTGAAGGTTTTAGACTTTTTGTTTATACGATTTTCGTAAGAATATGAAAATGAAACGGAGATGAAGAATTTTATAAACTTCATTCCAAACAGCTGTCGCACCTGTTGAGAAAATGGTTAACAGTTAACATTACTAGATGGTAATAGAGAGAACACAGTAACGTTTCTAATCATGTTTCAAGGAAGTAAAACGACGTTAACTGGATACAAGTGGTCATGTTTTTAGTGTGCCACAAAGGTCAATGGGGAACAGTGTGTGATGATTCCTTTGGTTGGGATGATGCCAAGGTTGCCTGTCGACAGCTTGGTTTTTCCAAAGCTGTACATTACCGGCACGGTGGAGGTGGGGAAGGACCGGTCTGGCTGGACGACATGGCATGTACAGGCTCAGAGACATCACTTCAGGACTGTCCTCACCGTGGATGGGGGGTTCATAACTGCGGTGGTCACACTGAAGATGCTGGTGTTCTACGTCAGTTATGGAGTGGACGTTAAGTAATATCCATGAAATAAACATAAATATTGCAACCTCGAGAAAAGACGTCAAGTCATCCTCCACATGTGTGGATAGTGTTCGGACCAGATATTCGTCATTAAACAGACTTAGTTTACCTATAATCGAAATTAACTCTTTTGGTTACTTTGATTTCCTTTAGGTCATTCCTGAAGATATCTTTATCTTCATATTAATGACCTATGAATTTATAAACTATAAGCAATATATATATATATATATATATATATATATATTAGTTTTAAAATTACCAGAAAATATCACGAGTTCAATTATGGAGTTCAATTAGAAGGCCCGAGAAATTACTGCTTGTTCGGTACTCTCCGATTTGTTTCCTTCGTTCCGTTGTTTGACTATTGGCAGACATAATAAAGTAATATATACATACAAATAGAAAAGGAATCCTCTCTGGTACAACTGATAACCTTTAATATCTCTATGTCTCAAAAGAAAACCATAATACTACACAATGACAGGTGGTTATATATAAGTCGGCTGTTTTAGTAGGGAATCAATAAAATGCTATATAACAAAAGAATATATTCCTGTTAGTTCTAGTACATTCAACCCAAGCATCTAGTACAGTCCAAGTCGTCCAGCCATACTGGTCCTTGTTCACCATGTCCATAATAATTCCAGTGATGTACAGCTTTGGTAAAACCAAGTTGTCTACACGCAACCTTGGCTTCATCCCAGCCCCAGTCATCATCACACACTGTTCCCCACTTTCCACCGTGGTACACTTGAACAGGAGCAGTAACACCAAGCAATATTTTGTTCAGTCTCATAGGATTTCGTTGTAACAAAATCGTATAAACTTATTTCCATAGTTAGTCGCCTGAAAAGCTATAAAGGTGAGACCGACAAGGATTATGGGTAGATACATTTGACGTGTTTCAACCGCATGATAACTGTTGATGGACTAGCACATCTTTTACCAGTTAGAGTGTCACCTCTACTGTGCATACTCAAGCTGCAGTTTGTGTCAAAAAAGCTTTGATATGAAAAGTTTCCCATGATCCGCAGTGATCTCAGCTTTCTTAGTTTTCGGTGACTAACTTTATTGAAATAAGTATAAATAAGAATAAATAGAAATGAGAATTTACAACTCCAAATCCAGCATGTGAAATATACTACTTAAGCGATACGAGGTGACATGTTAAAGATGCTATACAAGTCTACTACAATGGTCGGTGGGGAACAGTGTGTGATGATTCCTGGCATATGAATGATGTCAAGGTTGCTTGTCGACAACTTGATTACGCCAAAACTGTAAGTTACTGGCGGTACAATGGACAAGGAGAGGGACCAGTGTGGCTGAATGACATGAGGTGTACAGGCTCTGAGGCCTCACTTCTGGACTGTCGTCATCCTGGATGGGGAGTTGTCAGCTCAAACTGCAACGGCCACACTTACGATGTTTCGGTTGAGTGTTCTGGTTCCCCGTCCGACCAAAACTGTTCTTCTGTCATGTTACATTTGATTACAGTTTTGATAGCGTTTTCTATTAAAACAGCCATTGGGTGATAATCAAATCAAATTACAAATATATACATCACTAAGAATTGTGTTGTATATTGCATTTAGTCGAAACTCCGCATAACGAAAATAAAGAGGAATTATCATTAGAAATATTTTTTTCAGAATTTGATTCTAAAATTCACAAGAATGATCAAAATAACTATTTTAGTTTATACTAACAAGATTAATTGAAAATTTTAAAAATGTCAATCTCTGAGGTCTCTGAACCTGTGCATGCCATGTTGTTCAGCCAAACTGGTCTTTGCTCCCCATAACTATTGTACCAAGGACGTACAGCTTTGGTGAAACCAAGTTGTCTACACGCAACCTTGGCGTCTTCCCAACTCCAGGAATAATGACACGCTGTTCCCCACTTTTCACCGTGGTACACTTGTACAAGACCAGAAACACCAAGTAATCGTATATTGTATCTTTTTATTTACTTGCAATATTAATAGTGATAAATGCACATTAGTTTCCATTTCCATTTACCATTGTTTTAGCATCACGGAGTGTTTAGTACAAGAAAAAGAGCATGCTTGTGGCTTGCTCTATTTTAACTCTTTCAAAACAGATATATTGATCTGAAGGAAGAAGAATACCAATGTTGTGTATTTGTCTTGTTTTTCTTTGTAAATACAATAAAATAAATCTTAATTATTAATCTCTTTTATTACATAATTAAAGAATCACAATAACATTAAATGTCGATGACCCAATTGTAAATAGATAGAAGTCTGCCAGTTAAACTGAAATATGAGACATATCAAGGTTGTATGCCATCAACTGAAAATTGTGTCTATTATAGGCAGGTTTCAAGGTTTATGTTCCATCTGGTTCATACATATTACTATTTTATATTAGCGGAGCTCCCGCGCGGACCTAGCGCAGCACCATACTTAAGGAAAAATGATAAGCCATCGAGTTGATTTTTCATGGCTTGGCTGACGCACTTCCGTACGTCCGTCCGCACGTCCGTCCGTACGTCCGTCCGTCCGTTTGGCTCAGTTGTTTGAGCATCGGACTTTCTTGCTGGAGATCGTGGTTTGAGTCCCAGCCGGACCAACACTCAAGGTCTTAAAGTAACTGAGGAGAAAGTGCTGCCTTTGTAATTACATCTGCAAATGGTTAGACTTTCAAGTGACTCGGATGACCACTTTAAATGGCGTTCCCGTCACTCCACACTCATCATTACTAACCAACATAGAAGGGACGTAAAAGAACCACTGAGGACGTAAAAAAACCCTGGCAGTGACCACCCTCAGTGCCTCCACTTCATACTATCCATTTCTCATGCTTGTAAATTGCACAAAAAGTAATTTGTCATTCACTTCTCAATGTAAAGCGCCTTTGATTATATTCATATAGAAAAGGCGCTAAATAAATTCATAAATCATTATCAATCATTATCCGTCCGTCCGTCCGTCCGTCCGTCCGTCCGTGTACACAACACCGGAATCCCGCTTGATGTCAAAGCAAAACAACTCGCAAATTCTGCACTCAAATACACAGAAAAATTCGCTTTGGGACAAATTATAGACCAACAAAAAATATAATCCGGAGAGCAAATATTACGACAAATATTCGTCCTTTATTTAGCTTTGTAAATCTTTAACAATTCGGTACTTTTTAACCAAACTATGTCCTTAACTGATGACACAAGTTTAGTTAGTTAATTATCTCCGGCCAATTTTTTCTTTGATGCTACCAAGGCATTTATTTTCTTAATTTCATTGCGGTAAAAATACGGTTCTTATAAAAACCTAAATTCTGCATATGGATAACCAAGCATTGTCATGTAAAAGAAGTAATATTAAGCTAATGTTTTGCTCACCTTTTCTTAATTAAGCAGTTTTCTAGTCTGTCTTAATATGCCGTGTTCATTTGTCCATAAAAAGTTAGGAAACCTCCGAAATTTGTATTTTAATGAAAGACATCCAAGGTAAATTTCACTAAACTTGACATTTTATTGGATTATCTGTAGTTATCTTTCGTTTCTCAAGCAAAATTAACCAGGAATTCAAAGCGTAAAAATGTCGGCCATGCAAAACTTTGTCGAAGAATTTTTCAAGAACAAAACAAGCCCCTGGGGTGGACGGTGGTGGGTCGTGTACATGTGAAAAAAATTATAAAGTGGGAAATTACAAAGGTCGAAAGCAAAGACTCCTGCGAAATAAACGATGTAGTGCATTTCCATTTCATTTTTTCGCTTCATGGTTTTTTCTATGGGGGACATCTTCTTCTCGATGGAGAGAAAAAAATTGAAGTTTTTTTGCCCGATTTTACTTTCATCTTTCAGTTTCTTTAAATTGGGCTCCCTGTGCTATTGGGAGCTCGGCTTTTAGGCAGTGCCTAAATTTATATATTTTCACATACCCAAAATACTTTGCGGCTCTGTGGGGTAGCCAGAGGGAAAAAACGCACTTAGTGAGCTGAGGGTGGATAAGGCAATGTTGAAAATACCTCGTTCGATATTTAAATATAAAATGCATCGATAAGAAACAGAAAGAGATAGAGCCATGACGAGTTGCAAGGCCCTCGGGTTTGTACGCGTTTCCAATATTTGGTGGCTTCCTTGAATTCCTTAGCCCAACTAAACAATAGACGGCGCACAACAGGAATAAGTACTTAACGAAATACATGTATGTTTAATTTATATTGTTTCTTGCCGATTCCCGTATTGCATTATAAAATAGCATAGCAAAACGTTATAAGGCAGAATTGTATTTTCGAGTTTGAAAAAAAAAAGAAAAAATTACAGCTTAAATGAACACCTTATTTGAATTATTAGAACTGCGGGTGAGTCACCTGGCAATTCTACTGCTTTCGGGAGAAGCACCTGGAAAGCACGAGGAAAGTGCACCATTTTTATTGATAAGAAGCCGCTTTTATGCTTTGAAAGGATAACTAAACTAACTAGGCTGTGACTGAACCAGAAATAATATCCATCTGGTGATCCCCAAGGAATGGATGTGTACTGGATTAAAAAAAGCTATATTTTCCCACCATATTGCTGATATTATTTTACCTTTTGGATCAGACCAAGAGCATGGTTAATCAGTAAAGGTGGGATTTTTGTGGTAGTTGTGGTTTTTCCCTCAGCTACAATATCGTAAAAACTAAATAGCAAAGCCCACACTTGGATACTGTCCCCTCTCAACCTACAAAATAAAATAAAAAATCAGGCAAATTTTTCCATGAGACACAGAAATAAACATTTCCCACCAAATCAATCATATAATCAATAAAGGACTTACCTAAGTGTACTAGTACAGTAAGCAAACACTGGTTTGCTTGAATGTTTCCAAAACCAAGTACATAACTTTGATTTCCTCAGCATTTGCTGAAAATGGTCTCTTGTGTATTTGTCTTTCTATAATGAATGTTCTGGTTGCGTGATAGAAACTATAAGTCAATAAATAGCTAATTTTTTTCAGTTTCAACTTTGATTTTAATTCATAGCTTTACTGCATGTGCTCTAACGCATTGTATTTTCTTTGTGAAAACGACAAATGTGTTGACAATCCAGGTGTACACCGATGCTCACGCTGAATGAGTTAAGATATACTTTTTTGTGGAAGTCAATCTTTATATCAAAATAGCCTATCTGACAAATAATACATGCACACTGAAATATCAAATCGCTTCTTATTGTGCATAAAAGACTTTATATATGTAACATGTTAGCCACCCTCATATTTAGAAAAAAAACAGGTTTTTCAGCACCGAAAATTACCACTTTTAAGGTATACAAGGGGACATGTAGGGCTGTTATACAAGTTCACTACAATGGTCAGTGGGGAACAGTGTGTGATGATTACTGGGATGGTAATGATGCCCATAGTGTATAAGGGGTCATGTTTTTGGAGTCATACAAGTCTACTACAAAGGTCAATGGGGAACAGTGTGTGATGATTCCTGGGGTTTTGATGATGCCAAGGTTGCCTGTCGACAACTTGGTTTCACCAAAGCTATAGATTACTGGGGCAATGGACGTGGGGAAGGACCGCTTGAAAGTGTTGATGGACTTGCACATATCTTACCAGTTACGTCCTCGTCTCTTCTGAGCATCGATAAGAGGCAGTTTGTGTCATGAAAGCTTTGATATGAAAAGTTTCTCATGATTCGCAGTGATCTCTGCTTTCTAGGTTGTCGGTGACTAACTTTATTGAAAAAAGTATAACTAAGAATAAATAGAAATGAGAACATACAACTCCAAATCCAGAATAACGGATATACTACTTAAGGGATACAAGAGGATATGTTAAGGATGTTATGCAAGTCTACTACAATGGTCAGTGGGGAACAGTGTGTGATGATTACTGGCGTTTTGATGATGCCAAGGTTGCCTGCCGACAACTTGGTTTCACCAAAGCTGTAGATTACTGGGGCGGTGGACGTGGGGAAGGACCAGTGTGGCTAGACGAAATGCGTTGTACAGGCTCAGAGGCCTCACTTCAGGACTGTCCTCACAATGGATGGGGAGTTGTCAGCTCAAATTGCAACGGTCACACTGAAGATGTTTATGTTCAATATTCTGGGTCCTCGTCCGACCAAAATTGTTTCATTGTTATGAAATATTTCGTTACTGTAATAGCTTAATATTGTAATACTTTAATGGCCTTTACTATTATGATACATCATTGAAATATTTCTCGAAGATAATTGGCTGTAAGCAGTGCACTTCAACTGTAATACAGTGCAAACATTTGTAATACCAGTGCAAATAAGTGTAATTTACGCTTATGTTTGGCTAGAAAACCATAGAAATATGAATTAGCCAGATTATAGCTGCCACATGAATAGACCACCCTTGATTCTCTACAAATTCAAGGTGATGGTGGTTTTTTGTCATTAAAATGGTTTGAAAGTGCTGCCAAATTTACTTTAAATTAATTAATACCCTGCAGAAAAGGATAAAAATTGCAAACGAGCGACTTCATACTTGGTATGTGGGGATTAGCAAGCAGAGAAAACATCATTTGAACAATTGTACAGTTGAACTTAAGAGGACGTTGGACTTAAGAGGATAACTGACTAAAATAAGACGCTAAGCAAGACTTTCAACGGTTGCTTTATCAGCCAAAAGGTAAATAAAAAGGTTGGACAATGATAGTAGCTGTCCGCAAATTCGCTTTCAGTAAACAGGAAAATAAATAAAGAGGATCTTTAATGATTTACGATTAGTTTTGCAGAATTTGTCCACTTTAGGTGAAAAATTTGTTAAATCTGACGAAGGGGATCAAATCAAAACAAGATATTCGTTTTTACCTAAGATGTGATTAAAATCAATATTAGTAAAGTATTAGCCAAATATCACTGACATAACATTGGAACCTGGTTGCGCAATTAACCAGAACACTGAACACCAGCATCAATAGTGTGACCGCTGCACCATGACCTAACTTTTCCCCATCCAAAATGAGGACAATCCTGGATTGAGGCCTCTGAGCCCGTACATAACGTTATCCATCCAAAGTATCAGTAGGTGCCAGTAAATTACAGCTTTCCTAAAACCATTTCTACATGCCACATTGTCCTCCTCTAAACAAAAGGCATCATTGCAAGGCGTAGCAAAATAAATAAATTGATGAATAAATATTAGCCTGAGCGTTTGTTTTTTTCTTTTATTGTGCATTGATGAAAATTAGTATAAAATCAATTTCGTAGCTGAGCAATGAAAGGTAGAAAGGTTGTCCTTGGAAACATTTGTAAAAAATGATGTGAATAAAAAGGAGGTGGAAAAGTAAAGGAATCCTTTCTGGTACCGCTGATGATCTCCCTGTGCTTTAAACACACACCTAAAGAATCAAAAACGGTACAAAATGAACGATAATGAAAAGTTATGTTTATGATTAGACTTTTTTTGGTAGAGAAGAAAAATTAAATATAAACGAAATATTATATGACAAAGGAACAAATTGCTGGTGGTATCCAGTACACTGAACCCAAGCATCTTCAGTGTGGCCATTGCAGTTGGAGCTAACAACTCCCCATCCAGCATGAGTACAGTCCTCAAGTGAGGCCTCTGAGCCTGTACATCCCATGTTGTTTAGCCAGACTGGTCCTTGCTCCCCATAACCATACCACCAACGTTGTACAGCTTTGGTAAAACTAAGTTGTCGATATGCAACTTTGGCATCATTCCAGTCCCAGTTATCATCACACATTGTTCCCCACTTTTCGCCGTGGAAAATTTGAACAATACCACTAACACCAAGCAATATTGTGTTAAGTCTCATAGGATTTCGTTTTAACAAAATCGTATATACTCATTTCAATAAAGTTGTCGCCTGAAATGCTACAAAGGCGAGACCGACAAAGATTATGGGTAGATACATTTCACATATTTGAACCGCTTGATAGTGTTGATGGACTTGCACATAACTTACCAGTTACGTCCTCGTTTCTTCTGAGCATCCTCAAGCGGCAGTTTGTGTCAAAAAACTTTGATATGAAAAGTCTGTCATGATTCGCAGTGATCTCTGCTTTCTAGGTTTTCGGTGACTAACTTTATTGAAATAAGTACTGTTTAAATAAGAATAAATAGAAATGAGAACTTACAACTCCAAATCCAGAATAACAAATATAGTACTTAAGGGATACAAGAGGATATGTTAAGGATGTTATGCAAGTCTACTACAATGGTCAGTGGGGAACAGTGTGTGAGGATTCTTGGGATATATATGATGCCAAGGTTGCCTGTCGACAACTTGGTTACGCCACAACTGTAAATTACTGGCACAATGGACAAGGAGAGGGGCCAGTGTGGCTGGATGACATGAGGTGTACAGGCTCTGAGGCCTCACTTCTGGACTGCCGTCATCCTGGATGGGGAGTTGTCAGCTCAAATTGCAACGGTCACACTGACGATGTTTGGGTTGAGTGTTCCCCGTCCGACCAAAATTGTTCTTTGGTCATATAACATTTGGTTACAGTTTTAATAGCGTTTTCTATTAAAACAGCCATTGGGTGATAATGAAATCAAATTACAAATATATGCATCACTAAGAGTTGTGTTGTATATTGCATTTAATCGAAACTCCGCATAACGAAAATAAAGAGGAATTATCATTAGAAATAATTCTTAAGAATTTGATTCTAAAACTCACAAGAATGATCAAAATAACTGTTTTAGTTTATACCAACAAGATTATTTGAAAATTTTAAAAATGTCAATCTATACCTTAAATAATATATTCCCATTTGTTATTTTATTATTTCATTATTTCGTAATTTATTAACTTAATGAGTTCATTTTTTTTTTTTTTTAATTTTATTTTAAAATTTATTTCTGTTATAAGTGTGCCTTTTATAAACGTTTCTAACACCTCTCCATGGATGACAGCGAAAGTCAAAACTCTCAATAACATGAACTTTTGTTTGATATCCAGAACAACATCTAGTTCCATTAAAGTGACCCTTGCACCATGAGCTAGCATCACCCCATTCAGTTTGAGGCTAGTCCTGAAGTGATATTCGGAACACGTTACACCAGCATCATATTTGTGAGTTTTGCAGGCAGAGTCAGCAACTCCCCATCCAGAGTGAGAACAGTCCCCTAGTGAGGCCTCTGAGCCTGTACATGCCATCTCGTCCAGCCAGATTGGTCCCTCTCCACGTCCACTGGTCCAGTAAGTTACAGCTTTGTTGAAACCAAGTTGTCTACACGCAACCTTGGCGTCGTTCAAGTCCCAGGAATCATGACACACTGTTCCCCACTTTCACCAAATTATACCTGAACAATACCAGTAACCCCAGGCAGGAATCGTATATTATTTTCAGAATTGTTTGTCACTTTATGCATGTAATGCCAGATAACTATATTTCATTTGATAGAATAAATCTTTAGTTTTATAACATGATTAAAGAATCACAATAACATTAAATGTCGATGACCAGATTGTAAATACAGTCTAAATTAACACCTTAACCAAAATTAAATTGTTAGAACTGCGGGTGAGTCACCTGGCAATTCTACTGCTTTCGGGCGACGGAAGCACCTGTGTAATGAATGTTATGGTTGAGTGATAGAAACTATAAGTCAATAAATAGCTAATATTTTTCAGTTTCAACTGTGATTTTAGTTCATAGTTTTGCTGCATGTGCTCTAACGCATCGTATTTTCTATGTGAAAACGACAAATGTGTTGACATACCAGGTGTACATTGATGCTCACGCTGGATGAGTTAAGAAATACTTTCTTGTGGCAGTCAATCTTTATATCAAAATAGCCTATCTGACAAATAGTACATGCACACTGAGATATCAAGTCGCTTCTTGTCAAGTGCATAAAAGACTTTATATATGTCACATATTAGCGACCCTCATATTTAAAAAAAAAACAACAGTTTTTTCAACACCGAAAATGATCTCTTATACAAGGGGACATGTTAGGGGTGTTATACAAGTCCACTACAATGGTCAGTGGGGAACAGTGTGTGATGATGACTGGGATGGTTATGATGCCAACAGTATATAAGGGGTCATGTTTTGGGTGTCAGACAAGTCTACTATAAACGTAAATGGGGAACAGTGTGTGATGATAACTGGGATGGTAATGATGCCAACAGTATATAAGGGGTCATGTTTTTGGTGTCATACAAGTCTACTACAAAGGTCAATGGGGAACAGTGTGTCATTATTCCTGGGGTTTGGATGACGCCAAGGTTGCCTGTCGACAACTTGGTTTCACCAAAGCTGTAGATTACTGGGGCGATAGACGTGGGGAAGGACCAGTATGGCTAGACGACGTGCGTTGTACAGGCTCAGAGGCCTCACTTCATGACTGTCCTCACGCTGGATGGGGCGTTGTGAGCTCCAACTGCAATGGTCACACTGAAGATGTATATGTTCATTGTTCTGGGTCCTCGTCCGACCAAAATTGTTTCATTGTTATGAAATATTCCATTACTGTTTTAATAGCCTTTACTATTATGACACATTGAAACATTTCTCGAAGATAATTGGCTGTAAGCAGTGCACGTCAACTATAATACAGTCCAAACATTTGTAATACCAGTGCAAAGAAGTGTAATTTACGCTTTTGTATGGCTAGAAAACCATAGGAATATGAATTAGCCAGATTATAATAGCTGCCACATGAACAGACCAGCCTTGATTGTCTACAAATCCAAGGTGATGGCGGTTTTTTGTCACTAAAATGGTTTGAAAATGCTACCAAATTTACTCTAAATTAATTTAAACCCTGCAGAAAAGGTTAAAAATTTCAAACGAACGACTTCATACTTGGTATGTGGGGATTAGCAAGCAGAGAAAACATCAGTTGAACAATTGTGCAGCTGTATAAAGGACTTAAGAAGAAAACTGACTTTAAAAAAGTCCCGGCTAAGCAAGAACTTTCGGTGGTTGCTTTATCAGCCAAAAGGTAAATCCAAAGGTTGGACATTGATAGTAGCTGTCAGCAAATTCGCTTTCAGTAGACAGGAAAATAAATAAAGAGGCTGAACGTCCAGTCAGACTCAGTGAAAGCAAAACGTTTTGTTTGAATATGTACATACATTTACTTTGCCATTCAGATATTCACACTTGATCTGTCATTAAATGTTGTTGAAAATGATGACAGGATGTCATCGAAACGTCCAGCAATTCTTGCGTTTATTTTCTTAATTATATGAATTCGTTGTGGGTATTACTGTTTTCTAATTCAATTTTTGAAAAACGTCAAATAAACGAGTTCTTCACTACGTGAATATTTAAACTTATCAACATTTTTCATTTCATTAACATGTCGTATATGTCTCTGTTCTGTGATATAAACATGCTGGAAGCTGTAGAGCACGAAAGAAGCAAGGTTAGGAAGACGAAGCGTAGCCGAGTGATTCTCTTTTCGTGAGCTATATTTTAGGTATCTAATTAATTGTTATTATTAGAGTATAGGTTTCATTTATATGCATTTATATATAAATCGTAATTAGTAATAAATTTA